CTATATCAGGGAAAAGACATAAGCGCAGTCCGGCGCAGAGAAAATAAAAATAAAAAAGGCCAAGATGAAACCCGTGCATCACTTTCAGGTAGCTACGTTCATAATCTCCTGTGAAACTTTTTTGACTGTTGACGTTATTAACGTGTTTTAATGTCGGTAATAATTTCACCACCAACAACAACGCATCTGACCTAATATTCTAGTTTTCATGACTTAAAATGTATTATATAAAAACAACGAGGCAATAATTATTGGTTAATTAATAATGATATGGCTTCATAATGTAATACAAAATAAACAATTTGCATTATTACAAATGCCTGCAGCTGCAAGCACCAAAGGCCTGATAATTGCTGTTGATTAAGCTTAATTGAGTTACACTTACAGGACGATCAAATCCTTGTTTAATATTGGCCAAACATTTAATTCAAATATCCACTTAATTTTTAATTTTTGGCCACCTTTTTGCGATAGAAATGCTACAGCCTCTTTAATTGATTTAACAAAAAAAACATGTGGACATCACAACCCTTACCAAAATTAACCATGGTTTTATCGTAGTAAAACTGCTTAATTTTATTTTGTGTGATTTCTGAATGCTTGAGACTATAAAATCAATCAGACAACGGTATTAATAAAATCATAGCCATATAGAGCTACAATTACTTAGACAATAACTTGTCATGCAACATTATAATTTACCTCTATGTCCATAACTCATTAGTCAACTAGAAAATTGTGAAATAGCAATTGAAGTTAATTTTAACCTTTAGTATCCTTTATGAAAAGTGTGCTTAACTGTATTGAACTTCAACTGTAGTTGCATATAATAATATAATATAATATAATCACCATTACAAAGGGAAGTAACCTTTGTAATGATGTCAAATTAAATGTTTTACTTCAAAGTATACATTTTAAATGATTGTTTTAATAATCTTTTGTCAAGCTTTAAAGAAGTACACTTAATCTGATGTGTTGACTAACATAATAATAAACATGTACAGTACACAGAATTATTATATTTTAAATGTACTAAATTGTGACTTCATCTTTACAAATGTGTATTTACAAATTTAAATGCATGTCATTCAAGTTTCAATAGAAATGACATGAAAGTATATTTTAGTTTACCATAAATGTTTGTCAGTACATTTGACATTGTGCTTTAATCATATTTCAAAGACAATAGACATTTGAATTACATAATAATTATGAAATTACATAAGATACACGTATGTCCTACCTGTAAAAAAGTTTAACTAATGACATTTAATATAAATGTAAACTATAATACTTTTTCGGTTACACTTTATTGAGAGATGTCCTTGTTACGGTTTAATTATACATTTAAGTACTGAGTAATTTTAATTAACTACATGTACTTACTATATGGTTAGGGTTAGGATTAGAGTTTGGCTTAGGGTTACTTGCATGTAATTATGGATAGTTAATTGTTATTATAATAGTAAGTACATGTAACGTGTAACAAGGACACCTTAAAATAGTGTTGCCACTTTTTCATATATTTGTAAGTAACATGCAATTTTAAGTGTTTGAAAAGATTACATTCATTTCACACTTAAGTACATTCTTTTATTTCCATAATAAGTGCTCTATTTAAAAGTATGCGTAAGTGTACTTCTTTTTCATAAGGAATTATTATAGTACCAACTGTACAATTTACAGCCAACTGAGAGTTTTCTTCTCCCTTAAGAAAAATTGACGCTGAACTGGACTGGATATATATACAAATTAATCAAACTGAATTAAAGGGGTCATATGATGCTTTTTTAAAGATCATTATTTTGTGTATTTGGTGTAACAGAATATGTTGACATGCTTTAATGTTCAAAAAACACATTATTTTTCAAATACTGTACATTATTGTAGGTCCTCTATGCCCCGCCTCTCTCAAACGCTTCGTTTTCTTTAAGAACTTTGACTTAATCATGAAATCTGTTTCAATACCCAGCCCTAGTAAACAATGACAGAATTTTCATGTTTGCATGAACTATTCCTTTAAAGTCTCAGCGTATCTACTTCATATGACCTGTCGACCCCCTTGCTCCTATAACTAGGGCTCCTGTCAAGGGTCACTGGAGTCCCCCTTCACCCTCGGCCCTCACATACACAAACTCTCCTGACACCGAGGCCTCTTTGAGACGAGCAAGTACCTCCGTCTTCTTCCATTGGCTGCCACTTTCCCTCAGCCACTTGACCTTTCTTCCTCTATGCTGTTGGAGTTTCTTAAGAAATGTGCTTGTCCGTCAAGTCGTGGTTTTGACGGGGGGCGTGGCCTGGCTAGACATTTCCTTTCCATCTTCTGTTGCCGCTCTATCTCCGATCATAAGCCTCCTGACCTCTCCACTGCTTTCATTTGTGTTATCTTTCCGCATGCTCTCTCAGTCTCCTTTCAGTCTATATACCTAGGTTTTGACAGTTTAAACCATTCAGCAGTGTCTCGGACCCCAAACAGAGTATTTATTAGGACATACTGGTGTCTCAAAGTGTTTGCTCTCATTCTCATTCATCAAGTCTTGTCTTTCATTTTATCTTCCCATTTCTTCCTCTGTTTTCTCTTTATCTGGTTATGAGACAACGAACAGACACTTACGGCAGGTCTGCACTGTCTTAAAGATGTTCTTAAAAGGGCATTCTGGAAACTCTCCTTCTTCCCTCCCTCTATCAGAGCTCAATCATACTTAATGCTGTCTTTCCCCTCACTCCATCCATCTCTGTCATCCTCTCTCTCTCTTTCTCCTTCGCTGAGCCTTTGCTGATGCACTCCTGGCCATTAATAAAAATTTTATACATAGTCAGGAAGTGCATTTGCAGCGGGAGCGGCTGGAGGCTCTCAGGACGTATCTACTTCATATGACCTGTCGACCCCCTTGCTCCTATAACTAGGGCTCCTGTCAAGGGTCACTGGAGTCCCCCTTCACCCTCGGCCCTCACATACACAAACTCTCCTGAC